AAAGCTTCTAGGCAAAACCTACCTAGCCTCAGCTGGCTGTCATTGTCAAACAAATAGCAATGACCTCGAGAATGCCAGGGAGAGCTGGCCAGGGAGACTCCACCAGTGACCTGTCTCCTGTGCACATCCTGTGGGGCACCCCAAAATGGAAGGCAATGGAACACCTTTGAGACAAGGGTCAGTCCAGAGCAATCCCGCCAGGGTGGGAATGCCTGGAATGACATGAGGAACCCCAGACACTCTCTCTGTAGGCCAGACCTCCCGCTGCTTGTCACTGGGCCTGCTACCCACAGTCAGACCTCAGTCCTCCAGCATTGAGCACCTACCATTTCCAGGGGTCATGCTAAGCATGGGGCTTCATTCCTTTGGGTCATTTCTTACCCTCCCTAAGCATTTTCTTTTAAAATGCAAATCACCTCTGAGAAGAGCAATGCAATAATTGCTAACACCCCAGATTGAATTAATGCGGGGGTGGGGGGGAGGTCTTGTAAGACCGCAGAGGACTGGATGTCTTCAGCAAAAAGGGGAGCTGAAGTTCAGAGGTGACTGAGGAAATAAGGAGCCAGACAGAGCAACAACCTGGTCTTTTTCGGGGATGAATTCCTGGGGCCACATCGACTCCTTCCTTTATCCTTCCACCAAGACAAACACACCTATGCCCCCTGCAAGCGGCAGCAGTCCCCACAAATGCACCTGGCGTGGGGAGCTGGGTTCCGTGGGAGAGAGCAGCCAGGGGCTGGGCGGCCTTGGCCCCAATGCAGAGGGGCCGGGCCTGCCTTTCACCATCTCCAGGCTGAGGACGCCCTGAACCAGTGCCTACTCGCTCCCCAACAAGTCCGGGGCTTGGAGTTCAGGTAATTAGGCCGTTGGCATTCTCACCTGAGCCCGCCAATAAAACTGAGACAATCACCCTCAGCCCCTGTTCGGGAGGGAGAGAAGAAAGAAGGGGGGAGGGAAGGAGGAAAACTTTTTTTCTATGCTGAATTCAAGGCTTGGCAACCAGATGGGAGAAGGCTATTAGTCAGTCTATAAGGAACCACTCCAAACGCCCCAAACTCACTTCATGCCCAGGGCTGTCCCCTCCTGCCACAGAAGCCTGGCCTCCGTCTGCCACCATCATCCAGGGTAACAGGGGACACCTCCGGGGGCTCCAGCCTGAACTGGAGCCAGGCAAGGAGGACCTCTGCTTGCAGAGGCAGCCTTTTCCCAGCATGACTCCTTCTTACGGCAGAGGAAGGACAAAAGGGCACGTCTCCCACCCCACTCCCAGAGCCAGAGCCACCCTCCAAAAACTCTAGAAGGATGCTCCAGAGTATTAAAGTGCAACCAAGCGACTTCTTTGTACCCTGCCTTATGTCAGCCCCAGCTATCCAGGGCTGGTGCTCCTGCAGAGTGAGGACCTTTCTTTAACCATCTCTACATTGGCACAGTGCCCAGCAGGTACCTGGCACACAAACAGGACTTTCTTTTTCCCCTAAATAATAAACTTTAATGCTTCTTGTATGTGATCACACGGATGTGGGATACCTGGCCCTTTTTACTCCCTTTATCACTTATGCTCACACATAAGATACATGGTAGAGTGGGGGAGAATATAGTTTACCAATATTAATTGCCATTTATGGAGTCCTTGTGAGGGGGCTAGCGTAAGTATGAGGATTATCTCATTTAAAGCTTCCAAAGCGATAGGCACAATTATTATCTCAATTTACAAACAAGGAAACTGAGGCTGAGAAAGAAATTCAGAAATTTGCCCTCACTTGAAGTATTAATGAATACTTATTTAATTGAACTGAAGGCTCCCATTCTTTGTCAAGAACTAGTAGGAAGGAGGGGGGAGGCAATCTGCCCCCAAAGACTCCTATCCAATCTCACCAACGGGTAAGCAGGGGGTCAGCAGGCGGGCAAGCTCTGCTCCTCGCCCCTCTCCTTGGGTGCGACAAGTGCAGCTAGGCTGAAAGTGTCTGGGGGCCATCTCTGGCCGGGTCACACTCCTCCACGGTCTCTGGGGTCCTGGAAGCTCTCAAGGATCCCAAATTGTCCCCACTGCCTCTGCCTTTCCTAACGTGGGCCCCTATCGAACAGGACTAGGGTTTCCAGCTCCTTGACTCTCCTCTCCTGGGGAGAGGTCTGGACGGATGGGGAGGGGGTCCATCGCCGCAGGGTCCTCCGCAGTGGAGCCAGACCGCCTGTAGGTCTCGCGCTTCCTTCCCGCCACCCCCGCAGGCTGAGCTGTGCCTCGCGCGGGGAAACAGGGCACTGCAGTCAATACGGTGGCCTGCCGCTCGCCCAAGGCCGCGGCCCTGGCGGCGTCTGCTGGCCCCGGGCAGGAACCCGCGGAGATCCCCTGCCACCTCCGGGTGCTCGGGCAGCAGGAAGCGCCGCCGAGGGGCCAGGTGCGGGCGATACTCGCTAGTCCCCGCCGCTCCCCGCTTACTCCAGGCTCAGCGGCCAGAGGCCAGAGCCGCCGGCTAATTTTTCACGCCCCCCAGACCGCCTCCCTAGGTGACGCTAGAGTCTGTGCGGTTCCTTTAAAGGCTGCGGGTTCCGTTCTTCTTTCCTTTTCCACTGGATGCCAAAATATGCAAATCCGGGGACCGGAATCAGCAGCCAAATCGAGGAGAAGGGGCGCGGCCGGCGCGTCACCGGATCCGCTCCTTGTATGGCTCTTCCCGGCTTGGCCCGCCGCCCCGCGACCCTCCCTGCAGCCGCCAGGGCCCCTCCCGCGCCCAGCCGGGCTCACACCGCCGCCCACGCCCCCGGGCCGGCCGCTCGCCCCCCTAGGGAGGGAGCCGGGGGCGGGAGGCGCTGCATGCCCTGATTCCGGCCGGAGACCGGGACCGCTGCAGAGCGCTCCCTCCCTGCGCCGCGCAGGCGGAGGAGAGCCCGGGGGCGCAGTGCCTCCCCGGTATAGGTGTGGGGAGCCTGGCGGGAGCGGCGGCCGGGGTGGGGTGGGGTGAGGGGGCTCGCGGGCGGCGGGAATCCCTCCTTTGCTAAGAACCAGAGAAGATCCGGGGGAGGCCGGGCCCTCCCACCCCCAGTTCTCCGCCGAGCGGAGGGGAGGGGAGCGAGGTTGTCATCCACCCCCACCACGATGTGCAGCTCGGGAGTTCCTCCCACACGTCCCCGGCCCGCGTGGCCCTCCCACGGAGTGAGGCCCGGGGATCCTCTCTTCCTCCTTGTCAACACTCCCACTCCCCCTAAGAAATGCACGTTCCCCCAACCCCGACCAGCGAGGGGCGGGGGGGAGACGCGGGATTCACCGCGCCCACACGGCCACCGAGGAGGGAATCCTCCCACGCCAAGCCGGTGCCGGTGCCGGTGTGATTCGGGGTCGCTCCCCCACGCTCCCTTTCTCTCCTCCCGCTCTCCCGTGGCCCGGCCGCGCGCGCTCCCGCAGCAGGCCTCGGGGAACGTAGCAGCCGCCCCCGGGATCTGCTGCCGCTCCGGGAGGTGACAGCGTTCCGGTCGTCAAACAGGAGGCCCTTGACTGCGGGGCGCCGGCAGGCAGCGATGGGGACAGCCCTGTGGAAGGCGAGGGGGAGGGTAGAGACTAGAGGAGGTGGCTCTGAGACTGTGGGTTCGGCAGGCTCCCGCTGCAACTCTGTGGCGGGCCCTTCGCAGGCAGCAACAGACAGCGACTGCGCCTGGGCCTGCTGGGCCCTCCTGCCATCCCGTGGCCAAAGGGGGTGCTTTGGAACCGTTAGGGAATTATCAGGGATTTGGTGCACATGTTTCCTATCCCCTCAACTTCATTCCTACTTCTTCACCACCCGAACCGCACATCCTCGACCCCAAAAGTGCGGGGGTTCTCGCCTCCCGCGCCGCCACGCTGCAGCCACCAAGCTCTCTTCCGCCGCGCTCAGCTGGGAGTCAGCGCAGGGTCAGGGGCCCCGGGAGCGTCAGGAGTTCGGGCGGAGAATCAGAGTGAGGGCCGCACGAAAGTGGTGGGGATACTGGATCTGCGATCCCTGACCCGCTGCAATCCTCCTGGAAGGGACGCGCTCCCCTTCTCTCGGTCTCAGGCCGGGTCCCAGGTGCGAGACGAGCGGCGGGAGCAGGGTCGGAGCGCACACCTTCCGGGTTCCCCAGAAGTTCCCAGGTTGCAAAGGGACCTCGCCGGGTGTTTCCAATTCCCTTTCTCCCTGCTTGGGGTGTTGGAGGCCACTTGCAAACAACTCCACCCCCCCCCCCCCCGCGCCCCCCGCTGTACAAGTGCGCTCTCGTAGTGCGGACGTAAAATAAACACACAGGCGGTTATTGCTTTTCCAACTCCGCGCTGCGCGCTTTACGCTTTGCGTTCAGTTGCTTCCTTCTTTCCTCTCTCCTCTCGAATTTTCCTTCTTTCTTCTCTTTTATTTCTCTTTCTCTCATTTTCTTAAGATCCGCGAGCGTTGCGGGCGCCGCATGTTGGCTGCGGCCCGCTTCCTGCTTTCTAATGTTCCATTGTGAGGAGCTTCCATTGTGACGTCGCGCCCCTTCGGCTGGGCTTTGTCTGTCCATATATGGGCAGCTACGTCACGGAGCTTTCCCGGGGCTCAGATAAATAGGCTGGTGGAGTTCCCTGGCTGGGAGCTTTTGGGCAGCAGTGAGCTTGCTAGGAAGCGGCGGGGCTGGTGGTGGTGGTAGCGGCGGCGGCGGCGGCGGCGGCGGCGGCGGCGGCGGCGGCGGTGGCGGCGGCGGCGGCGGTGGCGGATCTGGGGGCGGGGGGGCCGCCGGCGCGCATCTGTTTGTGAGAGCAATACTGAGGCCGCGTCCAACCCCCTTGGGCCAAGATTCCCCCAGCCCAGCCCCCCCCCCCCCCCCCCCCCCCCCCCCCCCCAGCCTCTACGGCACCAGCGGAGGCACCCAAGAGGATTACCCCCCTTTGCCCTCTCTCCCACCCACCCCAAAAAGAGAAGATCCCCTCCCCTGGCCCACCCCTTCCCCTCTTCCCTCCCCCTCCCCCCGAACTTTCCCTCTCGCATGCTTTTCCCCTGCACCACGGATCGCCTCTCGGATGCCGCTTGCCTGGAAGCTGCGTTAGGAGCGAGCGGCGGCGGCGGCGGCGGCGGCGGCGGCAGCTCGGGAGTGCTATGACCGGCAAACTCGCCGAGAAGCTGCCGGTGACCATGAGCAGTTTGCTAAACCAACTGCCTGACAATCTGTACCCCGAGGAGATCCCCAGCGCGCTCAACCTCTTCTCTGGCAGCAGCGACTCGGTAGCCCATTACAATCAGATGGCTACAGGTAAGGGCGGCGGGGAGGCGGCGAGGCAGCGAGAAGGAAGGGAAAGGGAGGAAGAGGAGGGAAGGAGCTAGCGATGGATGGATGGATGACGGAGAGATGGATGGATGGATGCATGGAGAGATGGGGGCGCGCTGGGAATTTTCCGGGGGGCGAGTTGCTTTTCCCACCCACTCCTCCCGCCCTCCCCGATCGGGAAGGCTCGGTTGGCGACGCCACGGTAGAGGCTTCGGTTCTCCCGGGTGGGGGCAGCCGCCGACCAGAGGGAGGTAGGTGCGAGCGGCTCTGGGGTTCTCCACTTAGGGGGCGCGATCGCCAGGCTGCGCGCAAGGCGTGGTGCTGTCGCCCCCTTTCCCGGGAGGAGCCCAGCGTCCCTTTCACCCGCGCTCTCCCCCCCTTACTCCCTCAGCCTCCCACCCGGGATGGAGCCATGTGCGGCGTGGAGTCCCCGCGGTGGGAGAGGTACTGCGACGCTGCCTTTCCGGGGCGTTCAGCAAAGCCGTGGGGGTGTGGGGACAGCGGGAAGAGGGAGGGGGTCCTCGGGGGCCGTCACGGGGGGCGATCCCCCGGCCGTGGAGCTTGGGAAGAGCGGCCACTCCCGCCATGGAGACACGGGCCGGTTTTCCGCCGCCCTCCACCCTCGCTCGCTGAGGCTGGGCTTTCCCCCCTCCAGCAAGAGCCGAAAGCTCCTTCAGGCCTGGCGGAGGCTGGGGCCCGGGAAGGCGGCGGGAGAGCTCCCTTTGCCGGCAGAACCCCTCTGCGCGCAGAGGACAAAGCGTCGGAGCGCTCCGGGTCAGCGACCCGGGCGCGGTGCGCACGGGGGGCTTCGTCCGGGCAGGAAAGGCGCGGCGTCCCGGCGCGGACAGGGCTGGGGGAAGAGGCCGAGTTGTGTGCGCCGGAGAGCGAGAGCCCGGCGCGCTCGGGGTCTGAAACTACCTGTAGCTGCAGCTACCTGCCCGCCCCACCTCGGAAACAACAACAATGCTTCTCGCGTGCGCGCGTGTGTGTGTGCGTGTGATACGTGAGTGTGTGCGCGGCGTGTGCGGTGTGTGTGCAGCAGCCACTCCACACCCCGATCCGTAGTATTTTGCTGTATCCAGGTTGCGCCCGGGAGCGCGGCACCGCCCGCTTTGCGCCCGGGCGCAGCCTTCCTCCTACCCCGTGCGCTGTTCACTCCACCCGGCCGCACCCTCCACACCTGGGCAAGGACCTGGGCGCCCCGGCCCGGGAGCCGGCTCGGCTTCACTCACCCCTCCCCTCTCTTCCCCGCTCTCCGCAGAGAATGTGATGGACATCGGTCTGACCAACGAGAAGCCCAACCCGGAACTCTCTTATTCGGGCTCCTTCCAGCCAGCCCCCGGCAACAAGACCGTGACCTACTTGGGAAAGTTCGCCTTCGACTCCCCTTCCAACTGGTGTCAGGACAACATCATTAGCCTCATGAGCGCCGGCATCTTGGGGGTGCCCCCGGCCTCAGGGGCGCTCAGCACGCAGACCTCCACGGCCAGCATGGTGCAGCCGCCGCAGGGCGACGTGGAGGCCATGTATCCGGCGCTGCCCCCCTATTCTAACTGCAGTGATCTCTACTCGGAGCCTGTGTCTTTCCACGACCCCCAGGGCAACCCCGGGCTCGCCTATTCCCCCCAGGATTACCAATCGGCCAAGCCGGCCTTGGACAGCAACCTCTTCCCCATGATTCCTGACTACAACCTATACCACCACCCCAACGACATGGGCTCCATTCCGGAGCACAAGCCCTTCCAGGGCATGGACCCCATCCGGGTCAACCCGCCCCCTATTACCCCTCTGGAGACCATCAAGGCATTCAAAGACAAGCAGATCCACCCGGGCTTTGGCAGCCTGCCCCAGCCGCCGCTCACGCTCAAGCCCATCCGGCCCCGCAAGTATCCCAACCGACCCAGCAAGACCCCGCTCCACGAGCGGCCCCACGCGTGCCCGGCGGAGGGCTGCGACCGCCGTTTCAGTCGCTCGGACGAGCTGACCCGGCACCTGCGCATCCACACGGGCCACAAGCCCTTCCAGTGCCGGATCTGCATGCGGAGCTTCAGTCGCAGCGACCACCTAACCACTCACATCCGCACGCATACGGGCGAGAAGCCCTTTGCCTGCGAGTTCTGCGGGCGCAAGTTTGCGCGCAGCGACGAGCGCAAGCGCCACGCCAAGATCCACCTCAAGCAAAAGGAGAAGAAGGCGGAGAAGGGAGGTGCGCCCTCTGCGTCCTCGGCGCCCCCCGTGTCCCTGGCCCCTGTGGTCACCACCTGCGCCTGAGGCTCGGGCCCCCAGATCCCCACTTTTCCCCTGCAGTGAAAGCAGCGGGAAAGCTAGCCACGGAGGCGCAGGGGCCGCGCCCTGGCCTCTCCATGGACGTAAGGTCCCTTGTTCCCCTTCGATGTCCCCCGTTTCCACCCTTTCACACCGGCCAACGGTCGGGGGCCAGGGCAGGAGGTGCCCTCCCTTCGCTGCCCCCCCCCTTAACCAAGGCGTGGGGGCGGAAAGGTGGCGTCTAGCCCGCTTTGTTCAGTTCGGATCGTCTTGATCCAGGGGCCGCTGGGCCGCGCCAAGGACCTGCGGGGGACTGAAGGCGGGGCCCGCCCAAGCCTCGCCCGACCCAAGCACCTCACGGTTCCCCCCACGTCTCCCTCGGTTTCCCCTCGAAGACCCGAGAGGGGGAGGGGGTAAGGAGCGCACCAAAGCGCAGAGCTTGCTGCCCGCCGCACGCACGCGCGCCTGCGTGCGGGGATGCGCGCGAGTGTGCGTGCTCGCGTGAGTGTTATGTGTGTGGGTGTGTGGGTGTGTGTGCGCGCGCGCGCACGCGTGTGTGGGTGTGTGGGTGTGTGGGTGTGTGTGACTCTTGAGCTGAACTGGGCTGTGTCCACCCCAAACTCTTCCCCACATCGGGTCCCCAGGCCGCTGGGGGGAATGTCCCAGGTTGGGGGCCTGCACGTGGCCGGATGAGACGGTCTTCCATCTGCTCGGAAAGAATGTTTCTTACAGAAATGCCTCGGATGCCGCCGCCGCGGGGCTGCTACCGCCGTGTGGGGTTCGGCCCCTCAGCACCCCTCCTTTTCCGAGCGCTTCCCTCTTAGGCCTCAGGGCAGTTTGATCTGCGGGGAGAAGGAACAGCTATCACTAAACCTGCCTTGTAACAAATCTATTTCCTCAGCCCCACTTTTCAAAATCTGTGTTCCTGAGCTCGCCCTCTGCGCTTTCTCCCCCTCCTCCCCCTTCTCTCTAAAGCCTTTTTCCACCTCTTTCAAAATCTTCTTCCCAGAAAGGCAGGCCTCAACCAGCCACCTCATTTCACCATCTTTTTGTTTTCACTCACTCATACCCATTTCTCCTTCCCCCCCCCATGGATGGGAAAGCAGGTTCATTTTTCGTTCTTTGTCACCGCCGACACAACAGGTGGAATTCAGATCTACGTATGCGGTGCGTGTGTGTATGCAGGTATGTGTACATGCGCACACGCATACATATATACATCACACACACAATATGTACTCCCAGCAAAATAATATCTCTGAGGTACTTGGCTATCCAGTGCAGTGCACCGGAATAAAGAGAATTTGTAGGTATATAAGCTTTAAATGATTTATTTTTTATGAAAAATGTAACTGATGAGATTATATCTACATAGGCGTGTGTGTATGTATATATAAACATATATATGTATGTCTGTATACTGCATATACAGACATACACACATCTTCGTCCAAATTTTCCTTAAAGATATGGGTATTTTTACATTAACCCACGTTGCTGAATGAGGCGTATCTTTTCGCAACCCAGTCTCACTTTCTCCCCGCCCTACCTCACCTCTTCTCAGGCACCCCCTCCTCCCCAGCGCTTCCCCCACACAGGGGTGACTCTTTTGAAGTGGAGTAGTAGGGAAGGTTGCTCTCTCTCACACAGCTTCCCGCACAGTCTTGACTGAATGTACTGTTCCCTCTTAGCGTTATTTCTCCTGTGGTCACTAAGCTGCCCAGAGAGAAGGAACAAAGGTCTGGAGTTTACAGAATGTCTGTTTTTAAAGTCACTTTATGCGTTTCCCACTTTTTTTTTTTAAGAGAAAAAAAAGCATCGGGGGTTTTTGTTTGTTTGTTTTTTGTTTTTTGGGTTTGTTTTTTGTTTCTTGTTTCCTTTGGTGGTGGATAAATAATACTAAAAGGAGTCTAGTGAAAGGGAAAAAAAAATCAAAGAGCAGGGGGATTGTGAATTTCCAGGTACTTGGACTTTTTGTAGGAGAGAGAAGAGGATGGAGTTTGCCAGGAGGGCCCATATTTTTTCAGCTGAAGGGTAAAATCTTTCTTTGCAGAGACAGTATTTTGCTGAATACTTTTTATAATGTGATGATTATTAAAAACAAAAATTTTGGTCACTTCAAAGCTGGAAGGAGGAATCAAATATCCTTTAATATTTTTTCCTTGCTCCTTCTGGTTTATGCATGTCACTGCATGATAATCTGAGTTTTCCTTTGTTTTAATAAAACTGTTCTCAGACATTTAAGCTTAAACTAAGAGAAAAATAACTTTGTTGCCAAAAGGTTGTGCTATCCAGATTTTTTTATATGTCTGCATGTTTTAAAAAAACAACAACAAAAGAAAATGCACTCTAACTTATGTGAACTGAGAGAAAAAAAAATCAGGTTTTAAACAGGAAAACCTATGGGGAATGATATTTTTTGAAAGACTTTTGTATAAAGTTGAGTACTTAGAAAAAGACAAACCAGATGTAATATATTTTGTGGATGTTTTTATTTCTTGGATTTATAGTACCTTATACTAAGGTTAAAAAAATATGCTTGATATTGTGAAAAGGTGAAATTCTTCACCAACATTTCATTTGCTCCTTTGTCACATTGTTATGCCAATATAATATAGTTAATGAAAACAGCATTTTTAAAAACCGAAATATTGAAATGGTGTAATGTTGTACCATTTGCACTGTGAGCAAATGCTAATACAGTAAATATATTGTGTTTGCTGACAATCAGCCGGCCTATAAATCTCCTTATTTTATTTCTTGTTTTCATAGTATAAAGTTTTGGTTTGGCCTGTTTTTTGTCTTGTTTTGTTTTCGGCTGAGGGTTGGTTTGCTAGGTTCTTAAGCCAGGTTTTGCTGTTCTTGCTCTGAAAACTCAATGTGAAACATGGAATTTGGCCTTATTAGAAGTCAGTCAGAATTTTGTGCGGGGTCTGGTGTTTCAAACCCAGTGTTGAGTGTTTACCCTGGTTCTGAGAGAATAGGATTCTTCCTCCACACTGCTGGGAGTCTCAGACTGCCAGAGAGATTAGGCAAACAGATGAGATAAACTCATTGGAAATAGGACTAGTGACCGGAACCTTCTAGAACCCTTCTCCCTGGTTTCTGGTGGGTATTGGGGGTAGAGAGGCGGGGATCTAGTGGGATGCACTATGGCTCTGGTGGTAACAGGGAGCACCAGAGCAGGACCCTGTAGAGGCCCTCCAGCCACACTGAGTAGTGCTCTTGCTAAGGCTTTTGAAGCCTGAAAAACAGGTGGAGACTTGAGAGAGGGTTCTCCAAGGTTGGCAAGATAACCAGAGAGATTGGAGGCTCTGCTGTGGTCAGATAATTGGGAAAAATCAGATTTAAAAATTATGCATCTTCAGTCCCACTCGGACAGGACCTGCCAGGCCTTACTATTTGTAGCTGCCTGGGAAAGAGGGTCTTGGCTGAAAAAAAAAAAAAAAAAAAAGCAGCTCTTACGAACTCCCCAGGGATCCGATGTTTCTGTGAGGAGAAAGAACATTTGGGATTTGGAGAATGTACAAGGAATATTTTATATAACTTTAACCCCTCTCATCTTATGACTTCTATCTCCCACAGAGGTGATGCTTCCCCTACTCTATGAGCTTTCTTCCCCAGTATCTTCCCCTTTCTTAACTGAGTTCTTTGGCCAGCCCTAGAGCGTTCTCCCACTTCTCTTAAAGAGACACGTACCCTCCACTTCCGTCGTGTGTCCCCAGCTCCGCCCTGCTCCCTTCACCTTATTTCCCCCGTGAGTCTTTACAGTCCTTTATCCTCCTGCAGCTTGTTCAAGAATGGCCTTTGGACAGATCAGTTCTTTCTCTCTCTTCCTACCTGCCCTCTAAAACACCCAGTTGGGCTTTTCTGTCATGTATTTTGCACATAATTCACCTCAGCGAAGCTTGGGGGCAGGCGCTCGGTGTCTGATACTGCCTTGTGTAGATGTAGCACCACACCGCAACTGGGGGACAGAGTCTTGCCACCTGAAGCAACCATACGGTGACAGAAATGGGGTACAGCATCCCTGCTCAGAAACTGCCCTTGCCGCCCCAGTCAGGCCCATCACCCTGAAAAATGTGGGTGGTGTTTCTGGTTGGCTACAGTTACCAAGAAGTTGAGGGCAGACCCGGGTGGAGGTGATGGGCTGTGGCCTTAGAAAAGAATGTTTTTGAAGTGTGAGATCAATAAAGAGAATGCGGCATGGAATCTTCCATTTCCTCACCCACACAATTCTAGGTCATGGGCTGCCATCTTGAATTCCCTTCTCTCACCTCATGAAACTTTTGAAATTCCAAACTGCAACTATAGCTGCAAGGAGGTATCCTTTTTTAACAAAGGGAATCCAAGATGGCTGAAAAGTCCTAATGATTGAGTATATAATCCACCTCTTTGCTAAACTAGATATTTGCTTCCAGATTTCTGTGTTTTTCGAGTGCATATTTATCAGAGAAGGATTGCGTCACTGGGTGTCTTCATAGTTAGCATCCAGCCCCACCTGCACCTCCTCCAATCAAATCAGGCCTTCAGAGTTATACTTTCGTCAACAGTGTACTATGCTACATGATTAATAAACTCACTTCCCATTGGTGCATATTACTCAACCTAACCTGGTTCAACCACTGGGTTACTTGACAATATGGCAGCCCGCCTGGCTGGCACCAGCCCTGTGTGGTGTAATCTCTGATTCATACTTTGTAGCTAGATAAGGCTGTCCCAGATAGCATCACACAACCCAACCTGCCTGGGTTTTGTAAATATGGGGAGAGGAAACTGAACCCTCAGACTTAGGGATGCAGTGAAGAGATGGTAGAGGAAAGGGTTGGGTGAAATTATCATGCTACGGAATCAATGTAAGTTTGTCTGGGAGCAAAGGGAGGTATAGAAAAATGGAAGAGGTTTAACTATGTCCAAAGCAACCTCTAAGGTGTTTAGGGGTGAATGAAAGGATATCTCTCTCTCTCTCTCTCTCTTCCTCTCTCTCTCATCTTGGGAGTGGCTTACTGAAGGCAATGACTCTTTGCAAAATTGTACACCATGAACTAGGGCTGGGTACAAATGAGGATATACTTCATGAGAAGTGAGGGGCAAGGAATGGCTTATTTTCTAAATGGTAGTGATAGTAGTAATGTAAGTGTGTGTCTATGTATTCTTCTCAAGTATATAAAAAGGAATAGAAAGGTGGATTCTGATGATAGGAGGGTAATGGCTTCTGGCCAGTCACTACAGATCCTCTTTCATTAATCCAGAATTTGCCTGCCATAGATGAGTGGTTGTGAGCTGCCTTTTCCTGGCCTTGAATGGCTCCCCTAGTGCCATGGAATAATAAGCCTAGGGAAAGTAGAAGGCCTCTGTGTGTCCCAAAGACTAGAAGTCACACTGGCAAAATCTTAACGACTAAGGGGAAATGACTTTCTAAAAGGTGCCATGGAGTTTTCAAAAGAGGTCATAATCCTAAATCTATCCAAGCGGTTCTTTTTTAGAAAACCCACTCTTTGCACAGAGAGGAATGAGGTCT